CTTTCGATAGCGTTAATGTACTTGTTTCTTGCAAATTTAAAAATTATTTTATTGATAACTCTATGCCGATAGTATAAGTTTCTAATATAATGAAAATAAATTTTCATTTTCTCAAGGTTCCCAATCCACCACTTTATATTATATATGCTTGAAAGAGTTTGATTTGATTTCCAGATACGAATAAGCTGCCTCACTAATTATGTCCGTAAGTTTCATCACTGTAATATAATATAATATGTTTAAATATATTTGACCATCGATCAATATTATTGTTTTTCATAAATATGTAAATTACATCTATATTTACATTCGTAGTATGTTGCACTTTGTTCACCTAAGATAAATAAAATAAGTCTTTTATAAAAATATATTTTTTATCAATAACACTAGCCGAGTGACCCGGGCGCTGTCCCGGGTTTACCCGAAGGACCCGCAGGTGAGAAACTATAGGCATTGGTGCCTATGCCTAAAAAATATTTAAAATGAAAAAAGTAGAAATATTTCAACAAATCCGAAAATAAAATTGCAAACAAATCATCTACACTACTTCAAGGACATGAGAGCACATGCACTGTATCACCATACATGTACCATTTGCAAAGACCTGCTTAGGATTAAAACTTCTCAAAAGCATAACAATAGCACCACCCTAGAGTGTAACTGGTGTGGAGGCATTTTTCTTCTGGGAGTAAGGCTATTGAGAAATTCAGTAGGGAGTTATTTTGCTCCTCCACATTTTAACACTCCAACTGTTAACACTGAGGAAACCCTGACTCATGTTTGGTAAGCAATTTCAGGGAAGAAACTATAGACATTGGATTAAATAAATTATTAATTATATTACAATAAATAAAATTATTTAGATATAAATAAATATTATTTTGAGTGAAAAGAAGAAAAAAAATAACAAATTAGAAAATAAATTTTCAAATAACACAACTATATTGCAGATAAGACAACCTCGTCAGTCTAGGGCCATTACCCCGAAACCCTGGTCTCTAGGTGGACGCTTTTCAGTTTGCCAAAGCTGGTGTTGTGGCTTTGTCACCGACCCGAGGCCTCTAGTTGCGGCGACGGTCAATAGATGGCGTCTAGTTTTGACGTCTATTTTGACGGGAAAGGCGACCTTTGGCTCTTTGGATATTTATATATATATATATATAATGATTTTAAATAAATAACATACTTTTAAAAATATTATAAACTTTCACATCTTTGTAAAAATTAAATAGAAACTTCTCTTATTTTAAGTAATTCTCGTAAAAATATAATACAAGAATTGCGACAATGCATATAAAGTTCAAATTCATATTAATATTTCAAACTTTTAATTCATATTAATTCTATTTTATATAGATACATATTTATTTCAATACTAAATAAAGATATTTCCAAGATCGAAACCTAACTTATAAAAATATATACCAATGTTAATTTGGTGTTTTAAAGATTTAAAAAATAATTTTAAAAGCAGCTCCATCTATATAATTTTGTTATATGCATTAAAGGAAATATCTTTATTTACGGGGCTGTTAATTAGAATGAATGATTTTTGAGCCCCGAGATATACATTAAATTTATTAAATTTCAATCAAGAGTATTGCAATATTTATAAAAATATATATAAATTTCTCATGTTAGTTTTGGAAAAACAGAGTGTTTATAATTCTTCATTGATTGATTAACAAGTTAACCATATAATCATAAGGATAGAGGTTGTCTGGCCGGTATTCATATTTCTGTGAAAAATAAACATTTCGGCCAGTTAAAATTTTATTTTCTCAACGTTTCGACAAAATTATTTTGTCTTCGTCAAGAGAAGTAAATAAAATTTGGCCAAATGCTTTATTTTTATTTACTTCTCCTAACGAAGACAAAAGATTTTTGTCGAAACGTTGACTGGCTGGAGTATCTATTTTTCATAGAAATATTGACCATATTATTATTATTATTATCATTTACAAAGCACGCGATATCCGTCTTGGATATTTGCATGCACACACAAGTTTGGGAGCTTATTTACAGTAATTATTAATATGATTTTAGTTATTATAATAGAAATTATTAACATATTTGTCAGTTAGTTAACGATTTAATTACCCTATAATGAATATTAGTGAACATCACAGATAAGAACAGAAATTTAGAGCTATTTACAGCATATAACTATATATCAGTTATTACAGCCCAGGCTATCTATTACTAAAAAAACATTCTACAAAATCTATTAAAATTTATATACATATATCTATTATGAACTATTTGATTTAGACAATTTATATTTATTTGATTTTTGACTCTCAAGTCCTCTACAAGTCGACAGTCCGTTAGAATATGTACAGGATTTTCTTCTTCTGCACCACATGAGCATTTAGGCGAATCCGTCTTTCTGACTTTGTACAAATATGATCTAAAGTTACCGTGTCCAGTAAAAAATTGGACACTGTAAAAATTTGGCTTGACATATTTGGGTATTTGGGAGTCAGTGAAGAAGGACTTGAAAATGGTATTAGTCTTCTCATAGTATTTCTGCATTTTTTCCCTTATATAATTAGAAATTATATTCCTACTTGAAGAGTCAAATCGGTTGTAATTTATTTCGGTTTTCAACATGTTAGATTCAATATAATCAGTAAGTTTGGGGACTTGTGCAAGTATGTGTGTACAGTCCGATGATGTTTTACTGTAGGCCTGTATACAATGTTTTAATATTTTATATTGAAGAGAATTTAGTTTGTCCTTAGACTTTTTGTTTATGAATGGATACCATACTGAATAACCATAAGTAATTGTACTTCGATATAATGCCTTATACAATATCAGTCTTCGTCTAAAGTCTAGACCCCATGCTTTCTTTGTCAGGCCAAATAGGTATCCACTAGCTCTAGTTACTTTTATGATCATTTCATTAACGTGAGGCGTAAAGTCCAGTTTGCTTCTGACTCGGTGATTTTTAATAGTCACTCCTAGGATCTTAAGTTCTTCAACCGGTTTAATTAACTTGCTACCTGAGACTATTATATCGCTATTGCATTTATATAAATATAATATTTTTGTTTTTTCATCTGACAATTTTAATTTACGACTTTCACACCACCTATTGATTTTTCTTAATACCATATAATGCCAATTTCAATATTTAGATTCATAAGAGATGATATTTTATTTACATATGCTTAATCATTTACATCGTCTATATACTAAATTGAGATTTATGAAGTATTTTAGTTTATAATAGGTGGATATATATTTGAGAATTCACAGGGTATCTAGGTATTTTCAAAATATTTGTGTGATATTTATTACTGAAGAAATTTCGGGTCAACAAGTGTGTCCATCTAGAAGCTCTTCTTGAGCTTTGAGCCAAAAGAAGCTGAAGACACTACTTGATTATATGAACATGGATTCTTCTCTATGTTAATGATACTTCTAACATATAATAAAATGAAAATCCAATAGATAAAATAAAGAATAAAAAGGTCAAGTGTTGATATTAAAAATAAAGAATGCATATCCTGACCAAAAGCACATGTGCTTTTAAGATGTAGTGATACAGCCTACTCCACGCCGACAAGTGCCAACAGCGCGAAACGCGTTCGTGGATAGCTTTTCTTGATTTATCAAGAAATTGGTTTGGACAAATACCAGGGAACAGGTTATATCAATGTTTAGTTGATTTCTGTGCCAGTAGATGGCGTTCTGCCATCTAAAAAGTACATGTGCTTTTGGTCAGGATATGCTTTCAATATCTTAAATATAAATAGATATATTGTAGTGATTTCATATACTGATTTGTTTTCTTATTTTTGATGAGGAGAAATGCAGTTTATATATGTAAATAAATATATATTGCGTGAAAGAAAATGAGTTAATGGTACTGATGAGAGAGAGAATTTTCCTTAAGAATAAAAGCTTATATTTTGTGGTGGCAGAGATTGGAGGCAACCAATAGGTGGAAACCACGAGATATATATATGCGTATAAAAAGACAATAGTAAAATAAACGTTAAATTAGACCTTAAAGCTAGATGCAATCTATTGACCGTCACCGAAAACGAGAGGTCTCGGGTCGGTGAAAGGCCACAACAACAGGTTTGGCAAACTGAAAAGCGTCCACCTAGAGACCATGGTTTCGGGCTAATGGCCCTCGTCAGTTTAGAGCGGTCGTTTAGATGGCGTCTAGAATTGACGTCTATTTTGACATCTCTCTATATTTGCGTATAGTGCCCGACATTCAAATTAATGTGTATTCGGAAAATTGAAGATTTTGATAATTCAATTAAACATTGCCAAGGATTTGCTTCACCTTGAATCATATCAAGGTTGAAATTCAATATGTCCCACCACCCTTGTGCGGGATTGTTGTACAGGGCTCTGGCACATTTGTAAGTGCAAAGTCGAACTGCTTTTGCACATGTGTAGACATGTGGTGTACTTACAGTAAAAGCAGTCGCCTACCTCTACCCACCATGATTTCCATGGTCTGTACCATGTGTACAGGGATAATAACAATTATACTTTTATTTGTAGAAGGACGTTAGGCAAGTTTTACCGCAAATGTTTCTTTTGAACGAAAAATCGTAATTTATATAAGGAGAAATAACGACTTTTCTATCCTTATATATGAAGTATGAAAGAATGAATTGTGACGAGTAATAATGAATGGAAAAATAAATTTTTCAGGGATGGGAACAATGTGGGTTCGCTCCCCATCCCTGGACAATTTTATTTTTCTGTTCATCATTACTCTTCACAGTTCATCCTTTAATACTTCATATCTAAGGATAGAAAAAAAATCGTTATTTCTCCTTAAGATAATTTAAAATACAATATAACGCGGCTGATGATTGTAAAACGAAAATTGCAATTATACCGCGAATGTTTCTTTTAAACAAAATCGAAATTTATTTCAAAGAGAAATAACGACCATTTCTAACTTTAAGGATGAAGTATGAAAGGGTGAAAATATGAAGAGTAATGGCGAACGGAAAAATAAAAGTGTCCAAGGGCGGGAATCGAACCCACGACCTTCCGCTTACCGGGCAGATGCCATGTCCACTAGGCTACCCTGGACATATTTTTCCTTCGTAAATATTATATAAAGTAATTTAAAATATACAATATAACGCGGCTGATGAGTGTAAAACGAAAATTGCTATTATACCGCGAATGTTTCTTTTAAACAAAAATCGAAATTTATTTTAAAGAGAAATAACGACCATTTCTAACTTTAAGGATGAAATATGAAAGGGTGAAAATATCAAGAGTAATGGCGAATGGAAAAATAAAAGTGTCCAGGTCGTGGGTTCGATTCCACCCCTGGAAACTTTTATTTTTCCGTTCGCCATTACTCTTCATATTTTCACCCTTTCATGCTTCATCCTTAAAGTTAGAAATGGTCGTTATTTCTCTTTAAAATAAATTTCGATTTTTGTTTAAAAGAAACATTCGCGGTATAATTGCAATTTTCGTTCTCCTTAAGATAAATTACGATATTTCGTTCAAAAGAAAAATCCACGGTAAAACTTGTCAAACATCGTCCTGCAATCATAAGCCGTATTATATTGTATTGAACTTTTATTTTTACATATATAAATATAATTGTTCAATAACGGTATCTAAAATATCTACTAATCTTTACTGCTTTTTTTGGATAAATATACGAAAATATTTTTATTGACTATATTTTAAAATTCGGGAATTACCGAGTTTCCCTGATACATGTTTAGCATGTAATTTTTTTCTTTTCAAATTGAGGTATGAATTTTCTAGCCGAATATAAATAACTATATATGTTTGAAAATAGAGCAATCCATATATTATATTATGATGCACTTGCGCGCCATCTGTTATCAAAATTCGAAACTATTTTAGAGGCGTAAGATTACTTTTGAAATTGAACAATTTAAATAAAAACATGTATTATAATATTTAAAAATGCCTATTTTAAATCATAAAGTTTTATTTCCGTTATTTCGTGTGGCAACTCGCCAAACTTCATTGGGGAACAAGATTATTTTGAGAAGCTCGCGTCTCAATTCTCGAGTATGTACAACTGCTATAAAATCTTCAATATGCTTGTTTTTTTTTATAAATATAATTAATAATAATAAAATAATGTATAAAATATTAATATATAGAGAATAAATAAATATATACATTTAAAATATAAGAATTGAAAATCAGTAATTTGTTATATATATATTTGTATAGTAGTGGGCTATATGGTTTTAAATTGTAAGCATAATTAAGGAATGTCTATTTTTCGGTTGATGCTATTTTTATCTTCTATTGAGGTCCAGCTTTCTAGAAAAAGTCTTGAATGTTTGTCCTTGTAATTTTGATATACTATTTCAGTTGAATCTAAATTTGGTATGTGGTCCTGTTTCAGTGCGTGGTCTACTAAAAGTGAAAGAGGGCTATAGTTTTGAAGGGGTGTCCAGTGTTGATTGGTTCTTTCTTCCAGAGTTTTTCCTGTCTCTCCTATGTATGTGGCTGGGCAAGATCGGCACGGGATTCTGTAAATGAGGTTGGGTTTTTGACTGTTGTTTGTGTTATGTTTGGTATCGGGATGGCGGAGAAGTGTTTTTAAGTTGGATGGTGTCTGGTATATCGTCTTTATATTATACTTCTTAAGGGCTCTACTGGTTCTTTCAATGCCATACGGAAGTGTGCAATATGATTTCTGAGATTGGCTATTGGAAGGAGGGATAATGTTGATCTGTAGAATTGTCTTTTGATAAATTACTGATCTTCAATTATTTTATTTTAAATGTATATATTTATTTATTTTCTATATATTAATATTTATATATTATTTTATTATTATTAATTATATTTATAAACATGCCTATTGTAGATTTTATATATTTTTAATTTTATAGCAGTTGTACATACTCGTGAATTGAGACGCGAGCTTCTCAAAATAATCTTGTTCTCCGAAGAAGTTTGGCGAGTTGCCACACGAAATATCGGAAATAAAACTTTATGATCCAAAATAGACCTTTTTAAATAACTTTATATATATTTCTCGAATAGTATTCTAAAAATTCAAAATTATTTTCAAAAATGCATTTAAAAAACATCATTGACTGCTTGAAAAAAAAAATAATTTAAAAATTCAAGAGGAATGAAAACTATCTTCAATAGTAATATTCATTTCTTTTTCAAAAATTCTATGTGAACCTGTTCAAGAATATATTAGATGTATTTAGAATGTATTGAGATTTAATATTTTCCAATATAGCAGATTTTTATACATAATATAATTATTCATAGAATAGATCAAACGATTATTGACAAATTAAACTATCAATATCGCCATCTATTGAAGAAATTTGGAACGTTAGATATTATTAAAAGACTGATGTAGTGATAATATTGTTACAGTAATGAAGGTGACGTTGGGGTAGAATAAAATAATAATTTATTAGATGACTTTAAATAGTTAAATAGTTTGAGGGATAAAAAGGAGTGAAGATAAACTAAGTTATATGGATAAAAATAATTATAAATTAAGGAAGTAATGTCAAAGACCTAAACTGCTCGCTACTCCCCCTAAGATGGCGGCTAATGTTTACAAACTTCCCACCTAGAGTATCCGCTATCCATCGGAGTTTGGGTACATAACACTCGCCGAAGTGAAAGTGCGCGCCACCTATAGGGGCTTAGGTACATAACATTTGCCGATGTATTATTTACAGTTAACGCTATGTACATTTTTGGTTATGACAATATTTTGTGATATGTGGAATGGATAACCTTCCAAAATAGAACTTCAACAATCTCCCATACCAAGCTTCATCAAAATAAGTAGGTTATTTGATTACAAAGGTATGTATTGGATCGATATATATTTATTTTACCAATATATCAGTTGGCTGAACGCCAACCTTTTTCAGGGTATTATAACATATTTATGCCACACACACATACACAAAAGCATTTTTTAGGGATCAAGACCCATACATGATATTCCCAGTATAGCAATCATTTTAATTGAACATAAATTAAGTACTATATACAATTTAGTATTAACATGGGCCCATAAAAATCCTATTTACACATGTTTCTCATCATTCTCTTCTTCTCACAAAATTTGCATAAATCTATTGCACTTTGTCTACTTTTCACCGTTTTATGTCAACAACAAACTCAGCACAACATAACTTTAATATAATTAAGTTAGAAAATATATTTTTTACCAATATTCAATGGGAAGGAAAAAATATATAAGTATTTTGTAAACTGAACCTACAAAGATCTTGAATCAAAATCTAGATTTTTAATATACAACTCCTGTAAAATACAAAGGTAATAGAAGACCATGTTTGTTGAAGACAGCATAATTATTATATTTCAAAAACCATTTACTAAAAGATCGACAAAAGATATTTTTGACACTTCATCACAATACCAGAAATTGATGAGCAGAAATTGATTAAATTATGCATGAGGAAAGACTCTGTGATTAACTATGATAGATTTTATTCATTTTTTGAATTTTATCGGCATAAAACATAACGAAATCTCGGAGTCTGAATAAAATAAAAATTGATTATATTTAATAATCAGTTTAAATAGTCGTTAAACGGAAGCCACTTCTGCTATATGCGCAAAGAATAAATATAAATACTACGAATTTATGTCTATTTTGAAGAAAACGGTACATTTTCATTTTAATCTTCCATTACCATCTTTATTTTAAACAAAATATTAGCCCATTTACCTGGCTATGTAATGAGAACTTTATTATTTTAGGTGAGATTCGTGACTTTAACAGAAAGCTGAGCTGTTCATAATGACTAGGAATATATTCAATGATCACATTTCTCAGGGATGCTTATACAAAGGTTTCTAAAATTGCAATGTAGCTTTCTCACTGTTATATTATTATTATTTAAGCAGACAGAATATTTTGATATGAAGGCCTTTTTTGATTTACAATAAAGTAAATTTCTTATTTTATCTTTAAATAAGTTTTGTGAATAAAAGCGAGTATTCGAGGATTAATCTATGGATTCAATATATGTATATTAATTTTCTATCTTTAAAATAAGATCAATTTATATATTAGTTTGTAATAACCTAAAGAAAATATCTAGTTTTCCTATAAACCATTCACCTATTTATATTGCTTTAACCAAAAATATATTGCTATGTACTTTGTAATGCCTTTAAAATAAACATGCATTTTTTAGCATCTATGCAAGATTTCATCCGTTAAAACCAATTATCGAAGCACTTACACCAGTCATCTTCGGGGTGAAATTTACGGCAGTGATAAAGGCTTGCAGTGCTTTATCAGCAGTGTCAAATTCTATCCCTTTGAACGCTACCTTAACCTTTTGGAATAAAAGTAAAAAAGTGCTAGGTCTAGTGAATATGGTGGATGAATGACTAATTGGACACCAGAGTTCACTAAAAAGCTTAATGTTTGGGCTGAGGTGTGCGGTCTGAAATTGTCATGGTGTAGGACTCCTCTAAGTTGAGTTCATGATCTGCTTTGCTTGACCGTCGCCGCAAACTATCGGCCTCGGGTCGGTGACAAAGTCACAACAACAACTTTGGCAAACTGAGAAGCGTCCACCTAGAGATAATGAGTGCGGGATAACGGCCTTCGTCAGCCTGATGATCATAGCTGATCACATGATGAGATCATAGCTCGTATTTATCGATTCCAGCTGGGTTCTTCTTAGTTTTCAGAAGATAGTGTAGAGGGTTTATCACCGACCCGAGGCCGCTAGTTTGGGGCAACGGTAATAGATCGCGTCAAGTTTTGACGTTTATTTTGACGGGAGAAGCCTCTTATGTTTCTATGGATAAATAAAACAATCAAGACAAAATCCAATCAGTGTATTTTAATAATTTCGTTATATAAATAAATTTTTGCCTTGTTGGGTGACAAATAATAACTTCCGTGGGTTTAAACGATCTTCAGGATTGTATTTAAGCCTATTAAATAAAATAATTACAGAAGAATGCAAAATAAACTACAATAAAGAAAACAGCAGTTATAATCTTCCCAACTGTAGCACAGTGAAGAAAAGCAGGATCAGAACAGGAGAAAGAAG